AAAAGATAGAGTGTGTGGCTGCTTGCCTCTATGAACAATTTCCTCATTCACCATGAGACCAGAAGGACTGGATGGTGCCCAGCTACTATCATTTCTGAACATTTGTGATCAAAGACACCATATTAGAATCCTGATCAAAAGGGGGGAAATAACAGAGCAGAATTTAAAATTCTTACAGATTCTAGCCTTTCTGGAGCCACACAGTCTGGATGAATGCCTGAAGCTATTTGCCTGACTTTATCTTTAAGCCATAAACATAAATATGTCTTGAAATCTTAAAACCAAACAATAGTTCAGCTTCACTAGTGCAAAAGATCTGCCTTGACCATTATGGTCCTTTGTGTGGCAATCAAATTGACAACAGCAACTCTAATATTGGTTAGGAATAGTATTGGGCAGTTTCTGTTCAGGATGGAGGAACAGTTCAGAAGAGGGTGAGAATGGTTATGCAACTTGAAGACCGTAAGCAATGTCATATAGAAGCTTGGTTTGGAGTGTGTTTTCTGTGTATCCTCTCAACAACAGCAAAATTAATGGTGTTGCTGTTGTTAAGTGCCATCGAGTCGGTTCTGACCCGTAGTGACCCTGCAGGGGGCTTCCGAGGAGCAGCTGGTGAGCTTGAACTGCTGACATTGCAGTTCAGACTGCTTTACAGTCTGGCGCATTCACCCACAGTTCCACATCAGGACTCCTAAATGAATGTTAAGGGGTAAAAAAAACCCCATAATATTGATCACTTAAAGCAATCATTTACGTGAATAAAAATGTGTATATACTCTGATTAGTTACACTCTTAGGATCTTATCCTCAGGCAATAATTAGAAGTATGACTCAGGGGAAAAAATATATATATAAATATACAGTATTTGTTGTTGTTGTTGAGTTGATTCTGACCCATAGCAACACCGTGTAGGGTTTCCGAGGAGCGGCTGGTGAGCTTGAACCACCGACTTTGCAGTTCAAACTGACTTTGCAGTCCAGCGCATTAACCCACAACACCACACCAGGACTCCAATACAGAGCATAAGCTCTTACATATATACAAACAACTTCAAATGCATATTTGGTTATTTGAAGTCATAAGGAAAAAAAAAACCACAAAAACAATATAAAATGCCTGAGGCTGCCTGGCTCTAGTACTCCCAGAGCTGGGATTTGAACCCAGGCCGTGGCAGTCTCAGTGTTAACACAGGGTTATCCCTTGGCTCTTTGTTGTTGTTAGGGCTGTTCAGTAGGTTCCGACTCATAGCCACCCTGTAAAGGGTTTCCAAGAAGCAGCTGGTGAGTTTGAACCGTTGATCTTGTAGTTCAAACTGATCTTGAGGTGGAGTGCTTATCCTATAACACCACACCAGGACTCTTGGTTGCTAATTGTTGTTGCTGTTAAGTGCGGTCGAGTTGGTTCCGACCCATAGTGATCCTGTTTTCAAGGAATAACTGGTGAGCTTGAACCGCTGACGTTGTGGTTCAAACGACTTTTGCAGTCCAGCGCATTAACCCACAGGACCACACCAGGACTCTGATTACTAGAAGATGAACATCAAAGAGCACAGCCTTCAGCATGGATTACATCTCAGTGTAAAGAAAACAAAAATCCTCACCACTGGACCAATAAACAACATTCTTATCAATGGAGAAAAGACTGAAGTTGTCAAGGACTTCATTCTTCTTGGATCAACTATCAACACTCATGGAAGCAGCAATCAAGAAATCAGATGACATATTGCATTAGGCAAATCTACATGAGATGGAGAGCAAAGGTGTCAGATTGAAGACTAAGGTGCGCCTGACCCAAGCCATGGTATTTTCAGTAACCTCATATGCATGCAAAAACTGGACAGTGAATAAGGAAGACTGTAGGAGAATTGATGCTTTTGAGTTACGATGTTGGAGGAGAATATTGAAAGTGCCATGGGTTGCCAAAGAACAAACAGATCTGTGTTGGAAGACATGCAGCCAGAGTGCTCCTTGGAGGTCAGGATGGCCAAACTTTGTCTCTCATACTTCGGACATATTGTTAGAAGGGACCAGTCGCTGGAGAAGGATATCATGTTTGGTAAGGTGGAGGGTCAGAGAAAAAGAGGAAGACCTCCAGTGAGATGGATTGGCCAAGTGGAGAGCGTCCATGGGCTCAAACGTGGCAATAGTTATGAGGTTGGCCCAGGATCAGGCAGTGCTTATCCTATAGCAAGCATCACATGAGGACTTTCGTTCTGCTGTTTGTAGGGTCACTATGAGTCGGTACCGACTCGATGGCACCTAACAACAACCACAATTAGTTGTTAATTAAACATTGCTCGTCCTCTCTCCCCTATCCTGTACCACCACCACTGCCTTCAATTTGAGGCACAGGGTAGAACTGTGCCTTAGGGGTCCCACAGCTGCCACATCTTCCTCCCTCGGATCAGCTGGTGGGTTTGAACTGCTGACCTTTTGGTTAGCAGTCCAACACTTAACCCATTAAGCCACCAGGGATTTTTTTCTAGCCACAACATCCCATTTCAAGTGAGCCGCTCAGTCACCTCCAGGCATGTTGCCCCCTACTTGCAGCCCAGTGACAGGCTCAGGGATTTCTCTGCAGCACTGGCCATATTAGCAAAAACAAACAAAAAAAAACCATTGCTGTGGTGTCCAGCTGATGCAGACTCATAGCGACCCTAAGGACAGAATGGAACGGCCCCAGAGGGTTTCCAAGGTTGTGTTCCTCTTTATAGAAACAGACTGCTGCAGCTTTCTCCTGAGAAGAGGCTGCTAGGTTTGAGCTGCCAATCTTTCACTTTCCAATGGGGTGCTTAACTGATGTGCCACTAGGGTTCCTTGGCTATAATCCTAGCAGAGTGCTGGAAGCAACTGACTTGCCCATCAGCAGGGAGTTGAATCAGATGCAGGCACACCACACTGTTAGAATGAGGCAAGTCTGTACAGCCTGAGATTGAACCGTCTCCCAGTGGGGACCGCTGTAGAACTGTAAACATATGCTTACGTACAGGCCTTTTATATGCACGCGGGAAGGAAGGGTACATCTGAGGCAGTTACTAGGGGCTGCCTTCAGGAAGGGACAAGATAGCTGGGTAGTAAACTGGATGGTTATTTTTTACTGAAAACCATTTGTGGCTTTTGAATTTTTTTACCATGTCTTATTAATTTCTTACAGACATCGAAACAAAGTGCTCAAAATTGGATGGCTTATAAGAGTAATTTTT